CCTGTTGTAGTAATTGATAAATCCAAGGAAGGACCTCAATTGCGAGATATCTTTCGGCTGTGGAGCCTCCGCAACATCTTTTAGCTTGTCATGACACTTGTGCAGACCATCTGCATCAATTTTGTGCCCACAATATGTGATTGTGTCCTTGAAAAACTCACACTTATTACGTCTTGCACGCAGTCCATACTCTTCCAATCTCTTTAAGACTTGTGCCAAGTTCTCCAAATGACTACTGTCACTGTCACCTGTGACAATGATGTCATCGAGGTAGCATTGGGTACCAGGGCAACCCTGCAGTACCTGATCCATAGCCCTTTGCCATAAAGCCGGTGCTGAGGCGACACCGAAAACAAGCCTGTTATATCGGTACAAGCCCTTGTGAGTATTTATAGTCAAGCACACTTTTGAGTCCTCCTCCATTTCCATTTGCAAATACGCTTCCGCCAAGTCTATTTTGCTAAAAAGCTGTCCTCCTGCAAGTGTAGCAAAAATGTCCTCTATTCTCGGTAGTGGATATTGTTCTGCCTGCAGTACAGGGTTGACAGATACTTTAAAATCCCTGCACAGTCTTACAGTTCCGTCTTTTTTTCCCACAGGAACAACAGGAGTGGCCCAGGGACTCCAGTCAACTTTTGAAAGTATTCCTTCATCTTCCAACCGATTCAGCTCAGTTTCCAATTTCTGGCGAATAGCATAGGGAACATGCCTTGCCTTGTGAAACTTCAGAACAGCCTTCTCCTCCAAGGTTATCTTCCCCTTGATATGCTTCAGAGATCCTATTCCTGATTGAAACACCGCGGCAGCCCTGTCCAGCACTTGAGTGCACAGTGATGCAGGAACTGTGACTTGCAGACTTTTTATAGATTTCCAGTCCAACTGCAACTTTCTCAACCAGTCACGTCCCCAAAGTGCTGGTCCCTCAGTTCGTACTATGTACAGATCCAACTCACTCTGTTGATCATTGTACTTTACAGTCACGGGCATCACTCCTAGCGGAACTATGAGCTCACCAGTATATGTTTTCAGTTTGACAGGCGATGGCTTTAACTTAGCTGTCTTGAAATGTTTTTCAAACTCGTGCTGTGACATCACTGAAACGGCGGAACCTGTGTCCAATTCCATTCTGATTGGCTTTCCAATCACTTGAGGTATAAGCCAGATTGCTTGTTTAAAGTTCTTTTTTAGACTGTAGATTCCTAAATTCGCCAATCCCGTATCAGTTTTCAGCGACAGCATGCACATTCCTACTTTTCTTTTTCTGAGCCTTGTACTGTCTCTCTTTATCACTGTATTGTACATCAGATCGACATGCTCTTTGTATGTGTCCAATTCTATTGCACTTTCTGCATATTTCAGTTTTGAATCTGCACTGATTTGCTTTGTGTCCACCCCTGTCACATCGATAACACAGTTCAACTTTTTGCATTGTCTTTCTAGGTTTACCTGCAGTGGTCACCTGGTTTACAGACAGTCTTACTCCTGATCGCAGCTCCACTGCGTCTCTGGCAGCCGTTTCCATGGTGACAGAAATTTCAACCGCACGTCTGAATGTTAGATCTGCCTCCAAAAGCAATCTCTTCTGTATACTCCCTGTGAAATGCCACAGACTAGATGATCTCTCAGTGCGTCATTCAGTCCATCCTCAAACTGACAGTGTTCTGACAACTTCTTTAATTCAGCGACATAAACTGCGATTGACTCTCCGTCATTCTGATTCCGTTTATGAAATCTGAATCGTTCTGCAATGAGCAGCGGTTTTGGCGCTAGATGCTCTTGCATTACTTTCACAATGTTGTCAAAACTAAGATCGGCAGGCTTTGCGGGAGCAGTGAGGCTTCTCAGCAGTGCATAAGCTTTCCCTCCTATCGCACTCAACAACACTGACACCCGCTTGCCATTTTCAATGTCATTAGCTTTGAAATACTGCTCGATTCGTTCACAGTACAAAGTCCAATCGTCCGTAACATTGTCAAATGCATCAATCTTTCCAATATATCCTGCCATCCTTCTGCTTTCACTTACTATTTTGCGCTGAACCTATCTCTCAGTCTCCGTGAGTCTAGTTTTTTTCTCTCTTAATCACTTCTCCCAGGAAAAAAAACGCCCACTCGAAAAAAAAAAACTAGGAAAAAGCGCTTCCATAAAATTCCGAAAAATCCTCATCGCCAACTGTTGTGTTTGTTCGAAGTAACACAAATAAAAGTCGAGACAACGATGGGCAGTTCTTTTTATTTTACTGTTCAACAACTGAACACCAGCTCCGTTAACACAGGTGTCCTCCTTGGACAACCAACTGGCCAACCAGAATCTAACCCGGAGTACTTGTACTTTATTCTGGGTATATTCAACTCAATACACTACAGTTGGATCACAATAATTAGGAACCACAGTTTCCACAAATCCCTTCACTCGACTGGGATGTTCTCTTTTATTCTGGAGGGCAAGGGCAATGACTGTACGAGTGTATTTTGCAGTATTAAACACGTATTTATACCGATTTCATCAGGCTCCACAAGAACACAAAGAAGGGCCTTCTCAGCTGCCATAGTTGCAACTCTTGCGTCATCAGAACAGAATGTTCAACGCACCACCATTTCCGTTTAAAAAGCGTTTTGCATTTGCACCGTTTTGTCGGGGCTGAGTGGGCTGAACACAGCCCTGGTTAAAAAAAAACAGAGACACTGAGATCACTTGACTTTGATGAACTCCGAGAAATTTGTTCGAACAAAGAATCCGAAGCTTCACGAAGCAGTGTTTTGACAGTGTCCATCACAATTTCGAGACGAAGATTATTTCAAGTTGTGTTGTTCCTAAACGTCGTTCATAATCTGTACAAATACACCTTTTTGTAGTTGACGGAATTCAAACAGTCGTTGCTAGTAGTGATCGTGATGCAAAGTCCGATTCATTTCCGCGAACCGGTTCTATTCGGACAGATCGGCTCATTGAACCGGTTCTATTCGGACAGATCGGCTCATTGAACCGGTTCTATTCGGACAGATCGGCTCATTGAACCGGTTCTATTCGGACAGATCGGCTCATTGAACCGGTTCTATTCGGACAGATCGGCTCATTGAACCGGTTCAAAAAGCCGATTAATCGGTTCCTGACGTCATCAAGCAATAGCGTCTCTACGCATTTCTTTTAACAACTCAGTGCAATGTTGTATCAGTGAAAAATTCAAATAAGTAATTTGTGTCAACACATATTGAAACATTAAAAAAAAATAAAGTTATTTGTGTGAAAGCATATTGCTGATTATTACCATATAGTGTTTGTGGTCACAGTTTCATTCGCGGATCCTTTATGTCAGATACGACTGACTGACCAATATTGACTAGCCTACAACTTGGATAAGATTCCTAAAAGTTTCACACCCACACAGCACACATTACAGACATTGATGCACAAACGCGAATATGTTCTACATGTCTACAGTATAAATAATTAATAAACCAGTTCCTTGATTTCACTTAAACAACTTTAAATATAATATGCATGCACAATAAACTATTGTAAAATGTATTTACATCACTCGACAGAAATGTTTTTGCAGGTTTTAATAAAATGTAAATTAATAACAGTCATAATAAGCATATTTCCAGTACGCGCCTCAGGCTTGCACAGTATCGTCAACTCACTCATCAGAATCTTCGGTAATCCTCGGCAAACTTCGTTTTTTGCTGCGTGAAAAAATCCTGGGTCGCGGGTTGCGGTTATTTGGGTTTATTTAAAAAAAAACATGGTTGCTTGTTAGGAAAACCTGACAAGCAACTTCGTTTCTTTTCATTTATGTTCACTGTATTCTCCAATGCATTGATTGACACTCTGTCTGCTCACAGTTAATAGCCAATCAGTGCAAAAATATAAGTGCTGTAGCGTCATTTGTCAAATATTCCGCCCCCTCCGCACGCGCCTTCTTTTTGAACGTGATTTTTCTACAATGAGAGTGACGCTGTAATCCAAGCGATGATAGACATAGAGGAGTGGGATGACTTTTTTCCTTTATAGGGTAGCCTAATTTTTATTTTTTACAGTGTTTTTGTAATGTGTTAATTATCACGGGCTGTTAAAAAACAAAAAACAAGTAGGCCTATACAAATACGAGGAGTAGATTTGATTTTAGTAGGCTATAAATATGTGGCTATGTTACAGCTCCCCTTTGAAGCGCTTGTGTTTTTCTCCTTTTCCATCTGTCCAATCCTATTCTGCTCACAGGTGATAGGAGATGAGTTTTGAGTTTTGTAATAAATAATTGGTAATAAATAATATTGATAATAAATTATAAAAAAATATTGGGCTTGTTTTTGAAGCTGCGGTTGCTTATTTGTCTCGCGAGAGTTGGCAACAGTGGGCTCGACCGGTTACTTCCTGAGAACCGGTGTTCCGGCGAATTCAGTTCCCCTGTTCCCCCCTCACAGCGCCTGTCATTTAAAATAAAATAAATCCATACCTATATTTATATATAATTGTCTTGTGTTTGTATTCTTTAATGATTGCACTGTCCATGGAGCGGACCTGACTTACATTTCACTGCTGGTCATATATTCTCTATATAACCATGTTTGCTACAAATACAAATCTTGAATCTATAAATCCTCAGAAGGTAATATACTGGGAGGGAACCACTTTTCTCAGGCCTCTGGAAAAATCAGTTCCCTGTGTTTTCAGTGTAAACTGAAGTCTGTGTTTTATCTGTGTTCTGCAGATAAAAGTGGTTAGACATAATTATGACATTTTAAATAACGTTGCTTGCAGAAAGACAGCAAACCCACCATAAGCTGACTTGCTTAGCCGGGGCGAAATCATGAAGTCATGATTTTAGTACTGAAGTTTCAGGGTTGCCAGGATATATAAAAAAGAAACGCCCAATTGCTGCTAAAAACTACCGCTGGAAAACCGCGGACTTGGCAACACTGCGAAGTTGCGCAGGCGCTGTGAGGGGGAAACAGGGGAACTGAATTCGCCGGAACACCGGCTCAAAAGAACGATTCGTTCAAGAACCAAACATCACTTGTTGCTAGTCTGTCATAGCGAATGAGGGGCTTTCTGCCATGAACGGGTGTTCTAACTGCGTTGAACTTTAACACGGTTTCTCTTCAAGTACACGAGTGAGACAGCGATGCCAAGGGTAAACTGCTCGCGTGCATGTAAATTACATTATTCTAATAATCCATATTTAAATTCGGTTTTGTGAAAGTGCTTATTTTCTTAACAGATGGCTAGTTCAAGAAAAGTGGTCGAGTTTTTCTATGATATTGTTTCTCCGTATTCCTGGATGGCATTTGAAGTGCGTATTGTTTTTCTCCTTTAACGTAACGTTAGTTAATTGCAATCCAGTTTGCTCAAGATGTTCTCATATAATGTGTTGATTTTGTGTTTAAGGTGCTGTGTCGCTACAGAAATGTTTGGAACCTCGACCTCAAATTTAAACCAGCATATTTAGGGGGAGTCATGCATGACTCCGGTAATGGGTGTGTTTATATATATATATATATATTATTAAAAACAGTGGTTAGAACAAGTGTTGACCCCCTTCCTGATTTCTTTTTTTGCATATTTGTCACACTTTAATGTTTCAGATCATCAAACTAATTTAAATATTAGTAAAAGATAACACAAGTGAAAACAACATGCAGTTTTTAAATGAAAGTTTTTATTATTAAGGGAAAACAAAATCCAAAACTAAAAGGCCCTGTGCAAAAAAGTGTTTGCCCCCTAAACCTAATAACTGGTTGGGCCACCCTTAGCAGCAACAACTGCAATCAAGCGTTTGCGATAACTTGCAATGAGTCTGTTACAGCGCTGTGGAGGAATTTTGGTCCACTCTTCTTTGCAGAATTGTTGACCACAGTTTTAACAGGGGGGCAAACACTTCTTCAAACAGGGCCATGTAATTTTGGATTTTGTTTTCCCTTAATAATAAAAACCTTCATTTAAAAACTGCATGTTGTGTTTACTTGCATTATCTTTGACTAATATTGAAATTTGTTTGATGATCTGAAACATTAAAATGTGACAAACATGCAAAAAAATAAGAAATCAGGAAGGGGGCCAACACTTTTTCACACCACTGTAGATTCTTTAATGAAAATGTGTTTTTATCTAGTCTAAGGGTGTTTTCACACATGGCCTGTTGTTTCGGAACCTGGCACGTTTCCCCCCTTAGCACTGTTCGTTTGGGCATATGTGAACACGGCAATCGCACTCGGATCCGCGCCAAAACAATCGGTCCGAGATCGCCTGAACGAGGTGGTCTCGGCTCGATTGAAAACGAACTCTGGAGCGGTTCGGTTGTAGTGAGAAAGCAATCCGATCCAACGGACCAACGAACCAGGCTATATCACAATTTATAATGGGTAATTACATAAGTTCCGTGAAAAGCATTAGCTTTGTTGTTTTGCTAATACCTCAAAATGAACCTGTGAATGTATGTGGGAGAGCACGTCTTTGCCATTCAAAAATTAAAGCGCAATTTTTTGTTTTATAATGCCATCTTATTGCTCTTCTTTGTAGTATGTGCATTTTAAAAATGTTTTCCCAATCAATCCTGGACTCCTGCTCAAAATGATAAATTATTATTAACGACCGCTACAAAAAAACCCAACAATAAGCCCGCAAAGCTGTTATTGTTCCATTCTGACAGATGACAGTTGTGACAGCTCAGTGGAATCCCGGAAAATAAACCGTGGAACTTTGACCAATGAGAGAACAGTTTACTCGCGCGTGACTTGTATTAACAAATTTGGTCCGTTTAGAAACTTTGCTGTGTGAAGCAAACCGTACCAAGAATAAAAAGCAACATTGTAATCATTTGAATCCCTGTTTCGGAACAAAGCAATCGATCTACAGGTTAAGAATGCATTATGTTTTTTTTTTTAAATATCAAAAGAATGTGGTATTTATGTTGCATTGTTTTATAAATAAGGAAGGAAAGGAAAGGAAAGTGATGTGACATGTGGCCAAGTATGGTGACCCATACTCGGAATTAGTGCTCTGCATTTACCCATCCAAAGTGCGCACACACACAGCAGTGAACACACACAAACCGTGAACACACACCCGGAGCAGTGGGTTATAAGTTCATATATTATCAAATTTCTTCTATTTTTAGGCAATCGGCCCCCTGGAATGGTCCCAAATAAGTTTCATTACATGACCAAAGATCTGGAGCGGGTGTCTGGCTATTTTGGCGTTCCTTTGTATCCACCTTCAAACGTTTTTGAGGCAATGTTTGAGAAAGGTATTCAAACCATGACCAAATGCACAATGCAAGCTATACTTGCAGATTTTTTTCTGTCATATAGATATGTTTTAAGAGCAATTGTTGTCCATCTTTCCATGTAGGCACTTTGAATGCCATGCGTTTTGTGACCGCTGTAGCAGAGAAGGAAAAAGAGGGAGACGTGCTGGTGGAAAGGGTATCTAGAGAGCTATGGAAAAGAATCTGGAGTACTGATCAGGACGTTACCCAGCCTGCCTCACTTACTGAGGTATCCTATAACCAAGATTAGCTGTTTTTAAAAGAAGAGGTGCCAGATGCAGAACCTGGTTTGCAAAATTGCTAATTAGAATTAATTTACATGTTCTATCTCCTATTATTATGCCATAAAACTATATACATGAAAATTTTCATCATAACCTCTGTTGTACTTCACCATTATATTAAAACAGACTTGTTTTGTGTTGCACAGGCAGGATTAAAAGCAGGTCTCTCGGCCAATGAGTTGGAGGAAATTCTGACCCTCTCCAAATCTCAGCCAATCAAAGACAAGCTGAAGAGTGTCACACAAGAAGCACTGGACTATCAAGTCAGTGCCTTTTACTTGCGTCTTTGCACTCTGTCTTTCTAACTAGAATGTCTTTGTGGTAAAAATGTAATGCATATTCCTTACAGTGACCTCTCTTTCTCCCCCCACCCCCCCATTTTTGCAGTGCTTTGGTTTTCCTTCCACTGTGTGTCATGCGAACGGGAAGGCTGAGCTCTTCTTTGGTTCTGACAGATTTGAGCTCATGGCTCATTGCATCGGTAACCATGGATTTGTACTATAGTCTAATGGCTATATTTATCATACCCAGGTTGCTTGGTGGTTTATTGCACTTGATCATGTTTTGAACCATACATTTCTAACTAACCTTGGTATATTAAAATATAAAAATATATTAAAATGTACTATTCATTGTCCAATCGTTGTCTTTCTTTTGTGTTACAGGAGAGAAGTGGGTGGGGCCTCACCCTGACAAACCTACATCCAAAATGTGATCATTGCTCTCCTATACTTCTAAATAAAATTTTATAAATGCTCTACATTCACATTGCCCTTATAATATAAACTTCCTGAATTCAAAAGAGAGGAAAAAAGCTGTGGAGACAGAAATAATAAGAAATATGTCTATATACTCTACTGTTCAAAAGTTTCTCCTGCTCACCGAGGCTGCATTAATTTAATAAATCATACTGTAAAAACTGTAATTATTATTGCAGTTTAAAATAAAGTTGTTCTCTTTCAATATATTTTTAAACGCAATTTATTGCTGTAATGGCAAAACTGAATTTTCAGCAGCCATTATATACTTATTGTATGTGTTACACTAGAGATTAATATAGTGTGACCATTGGATAGTAGCCTGTAAGATATTTTCCATTGTCACTTCACACTCCAGTCTAGTAGGTGGCAGAAATACACCATAATGGGTACAGTAAAAGATGTTTAAAACTGGATTTCGTTAGACCATTAGACTGTGTATCATGCCAAGCCACAGTATTTTATGTTACGTGCCTTTGAAAATGCCAGAGAAAGCTTTAAATCACGGCTATATGGGAACAACGCTATACTGTATTCAAACGCGATATGGAAGCGTAATTTATTCAATATGGTGAAACCACAAAATAAAAGTGTCAATAAGTAACTAATAAATAACTGAACTCAACCTCATAATAAACATTTGTTTGTGTAATAGGTTAAATTGCCGTCACACAACAGCCAACAGCATTTCCCAGTTTTTCAGTCAAGTCGATGTATATGAGCTGCTCTGTGGATCTAACGATGTATGAAGTATCTACAAATGCAGAGGACGCGATTCACAAATAAATGCCAGGCAAAGTTGTGGTTGTGACATAAATATATATTTGTGAATGTTTTTTATTTGCAAATCTCATTTTATTTATTTGTGAATTTAATTCATGTTTGTGAAATTTTAAGATTCATTTGTGGATCTCATTCTATTTATTTGTGGATCATAATCTATTTATTTGGAATTAAGCAACAATTCTACCCCCATAGGATGAACACCACGGAGCGCTAAACATTCCGTGCAGTGTATGTTTAATTCATACTCGAAGCCGGAGGGCGCTCTCGTGCAGAAAGTCCAAAACAGACTCATAGAAGGAATGACTTGTGACGTGCAGGAAACCCTAATATGGACAAAAGCATCCGGCTATTGCTGAAGCTGAGCTGAATAAAAAGCAGAAAAAAACCGTGAAGACAATAAACACACGATTGCGAAAATATACGGTTTATGTGTTTTTCAAACTATTTCCAGGTAATAAATAAACTATATAAAATAATGCAGTACTGATTGACATTATTTAGTAGCCTTTAGAAACTATAAAATAGATTTCCTGCCTTATTCTGTGATAAAAATGGGGAAAAGGTGCTGGTAGTAGCCTTTATAAACCGATCATAAAATTGTCATTAGGAAAATATTGAACAAAAATATTATAGCCCCTTGCTGCAGCTAACCTTACTTTCACAGGCTACAAACAGTAATATAAACAACAGCTGTGCATGCTCTCTTCACGCAGTTCTTGTATAATAATAATAATAATTATATAATAATATAAGTATACAAGCACACCGCTCCGCTGAGAACATAGACATAATTTAGAGGCTTTAGAAATATGTGTATCAAATATGATATGTAGGCTTTACAAGGTTAAAGTCTCAAAACAGTTCAGGTGAAGAAACCTCTTTTCAAAATAACTCAGTAGACAAAAACTCCATAAAACAGTTTTAAAAGTTGAATGTGAAAATTACATCGGGCCTAGGACCATTCTACAGTGTGTGTTATTGAAAGACTGATGAGTCTATCTTTCACAGCCTTATTTTCATCCACATAAAATTCAATTAAATATTGAAAAAAAATTGAACCCCGATTAAGATCTATTGTATTGTAACTCCCAGAGTCTGTACAGCATGTGATCCCAGCTAAGCTGGTTTGCCAAACAACCACCATTAATAAACACATAGACATGGTGGAAGACAAGTGGTTTCCAAAAAAGGAAAAAGAATTCCAAACAAGTTTGGAGAAAGTTTAAAAGGGAGTGTACAAGACATACAGTTAAGGTTAGGGGTGGGGTTTGCCTATGTCTTTTCTTTGTAGAGCCTATCCCTTAGAGATCTCCATCCTGCAGCTACACCCTTCTCCGTTTAAAGGAATCAGAACAAGAACAAGAACACAGCAAAGGTATTGTGCCCTCATGCCTGTAAATGCCATTATAATATATTGTAATATACTGTATATTGTAGTCCATACTTATGTGTTTGGATTTGTGAATATTGTTATTATTTATTACAGATGTCCAATTCCAGAAAAGTGGTCAAGTTGTACTATGATGTCATCTCTCCTTATTCCTGGCTGGCATTTGAGGTTAGTAATGTTTTTCATCCTTAGTATATTCATTGCCATGCCTTCGGTGCAAATACAGTGTCAGTACTGTGCATGTGTTGATTTTGTGTTTCAAGGTGCTGTGTCTGGAACATCGACCTCAAATTCAAATCGGCATTTTTAGGAGGAGTCTTTCATGGTTCAGGTAAATGCCAAACAATTTGTTGCTTTTGTTGAGATATTCTTCACAATGTCACAAAACCTTTTTACTTGATTTCTAGGTAACCTGGAACCTGGATTGGTCCAAAATAAGTTTTGTTACATGGTCACAGATTTGAAGCAACTGTCTGAGTTCTTTGGGGTCCCTGTGAATCCACCTTGGCCTTTTACAAACCACTATTTCTCTTTATGATGTCTTATGAATCTAAGCCATGCTTTAAGCTGATTTCACACACTCAAACAGAAGAAGAATGCTGGACTTTTTTATTGTAAACTTACGGGAAAAGATTTTTCCCTGCCAGTTAAGTCCATTACAAGGGCATGTAAGCAGTGCTATTTGGCATTAAACTTGTCATGTTAGATTGTTTTTATAATCTAATAAAGCATAAACTATCTTTCTGTTTATTTAAAATGTAAAAAGTATTTTGTATTTGTGTGTAAACAATCAGTGGTTATTTAGGTTTATCTTTCTTTCCAACCAAGGCACTTTGAATGTGATGCGTTTTGTGACAGCTGTAGATGAGAAAGAAAAAGAGAGAGGCGTGCTGGTGGAAAGGGTGTCTAGAGAGCTCTGGAAGAATATCTGGTGCACTCATCAGGACATTACCCACCCTGCCACACTCACTGAGGTATCCTGCATCCAGGATTAAGAAACTAAATCAAACTAAATAAGAAAAACAGTCACTAACTAAATGGAATACATTTACATGATAATCTTGAAATTATTACTCCATACCATATGCATGAAGAAATTTCATTTTAGTGTCACGACAGAGACTGGCATATCTATTTATAATAAACCAGTAGGAAAGACAATAAAACAAACTATTGTTTGATAAAATAGTGTGTTAACAATAGGCTTGCCTTTCTGTTTTCCACAGGCAGGATTAAAGTCAGGTCTCTCAGCCAATGAGGTGGAGGAACTTCTAATCCTTTCCAAATCTCAGCAAATCAAAGACAAGCTGAAAAATGTGACACAAGAAGCACTGGACTATCAAGTCAGTGCCTTTCACTTGTGTTTTTACACCTTTTGTCTTTTCATAAATGATAAAACTTATTTTGACAGTTGTTTTCACTCTTTTTTCAGTCTTTTGGCCTTCCATTCATTGTGTGTCATGTGAACGGGAAGACTGAGGTCTTCTTTGATTCTGACAGATTTGAGCTCATGGCCCATCGAATCGGTAACTAAGGATGTAAACCTGATAACCCCTATTAACAACTGGTTTGATTAATGGCATTGATTATTTTACAAATTTAAATTATGCTTTATATTTTTAGAAAAGCTTCTCCAATTACTGGCATGTTAAAAATACTAAACAATACAACTACACAGCGGTTCTCTGAGGCAGATGAATATAAGGTGTCATGTAAGGTTTAAATCAAACTCCACACATTATACACATTATATGAAGTAGTCACACATACATGTATACTACTGATAGCTCAAACAAACACATATAAAACGAAACTCATATACAAATATCAGTGTGAAATACAGAACAATACCACTAATGTTACTCATGGGGATAATGGTCACAAACTCATACAAACTCTACACAAACTGATGGAATTCTAATACAAGATGTTCTTTCTGTATATAATTTTTCTGTTGTTTGAATAACCATGGAAACTGAAGCAATATAATTAGTAGCATATTTTTAGTACATTGTGATCATGTTAAATTCAAATTCAATTATATTAAAAATACTTTATGACATTACACTTATAGCCTATCTGGTACTTGACTAAAAAGACGGATTTATGATGCGTGTAATCAATAGATTACACTTACATTAGGCTAGTTTTACCTTTAATTTCTTACCCAGGAGTTGGTTCACTCTTCAGAGTTCACTCTTCAGTTTCTAGAGACTGCAGAGTGATACATCACAGGGAAAAATGACTTGAAATAATCCTGAACATACGTTAAGATAAATGTTAAAATGTAGCCCTTAAAAGCACAAGTGCCTGTCCCCCAGTTACTATGGTCTAGAACTGCCTCTATGACTGACACGGGCCAGTTCAGAGAAACAGGTGTTGTGTTTATTAATACTTAGAGTTAAGGAACATATTGATTCTTGTAGGGTCACTGGGATACTTGAGCCAGTCTCACTCAGCATCTTGGGCCAAAAGGCGGAGAAACACCCTGGACAGATGTCCAAATCACAGGGCTAATACACACACACACACAGGTTTAATTAATTGTAGTATATTTATATCTTGACAGACTGTTTATTGACCAATCATTCTCCTTCTTTTTTCTTCCAGGGGAGAAATGGGTGGGACCTCGTCCTGTCAAAACCTACAGCTAAAATGTGATCACTGCTCCACCTTATGCGTCAGAGAAACAACTGTGGAGCCATCTTTAGAATTTTGAGCTCTGTATATTGCATCACTGTTGAATAAAAAAAAGTTACGAAAGTCATCATGAGCATTGTAATGTTTAAAGTAGATATCATAACGAATGTCAGTAGATTTTAAAACGAGACAACCCACAAGATTCCTTTCAGGAAACCTGTTTGGTTTTACAAATGAAAATGATTTATTATAGATGTCGAGTTCCAGAACAATTATTGAGTTATTTTATGATGTTGACTCTCCTTATTCCTGGCTGGCATTTGAGGTGTGTAATGTTTTTCAGCCTTGGTATACATCATTGCCATGCCATCAGTGCTAATGCAGTGTCAGTATCATGCATGTGTTGATTTTTTGTCTTTTAAGGTGCTGTGTCGCTATAGAAATGTTTGGAACATCGATCTCAAATTCAAGCCAGCATATTTAGGAGTCATATACAGCTCAGGTAATGGGGAAAAGACATGATCACAACTAATCTAAATGCATATGTAACATTAATGGTCATAGCTTTTTAGATATTCCGAACAGTAAATTTATTCCTTATATACTGTAATTATTTAATCACTTTAAGTATATATGTACTAAATGTGAAACTCTACCTAGAGCAATAACCTTGTAACTGCTGAAGTATAATTTGTAACGATGTACATGTAGTTACCAACTATATGTGACAATTTGCATTATTTATAGATGGAGACAGAAACCCTTATCAAGTCTGTTCTTTTCCTATAGGTAACCGCCCCCTGGATTGAACCCAAGTAAACTTCTATACATGGTCTCAGATCTGAAGCTGCTGTCTGAGTATTTTGGAGTCCCAATGTTTCAACCTTCAAGCCTTTCTGAGAAAGGTATTCAAGCCACCGTTTCTCTCAGATGGTTCTTATGACTAGATTTACAATGCACAATGCAAGCCATATTTGTTTTCTTTCTCTTATAAAGAAAAAGATTTTTGAACAATTTCCAGAGTATTTTTTTAATTGTTTTATGGAAAAAAAATGTATAAGTGCGTGCTAAACTTTGGCACTTAACTTATGCAATCAGATTGCTGTTACAACCTAAAAAAGGATATTCATGTGCTTCTAAGTGAATCACATGTCTTTTATTCTCTTTTTTGTTCTTCTGTTCTCTTTTGCAATCTCAGACTCTTTGAATGCGATGCATTTTGCAACAGTTGTAGCAGAGAAAGAAAAAAAGGGAGACACACTGGAAAAGGTAATGTTATAACTGAGAATAAGAAATTAAATGAGATCAATAAAAATATGTCATTACTTATTTTAGCACCAAGATGGAGACTGACATATTTATCTATGCTAAACCAGGACACAATCTTATAGCTATATAACTACAATTTAAAGTATTCTCCAATGTCTTTCTGCACAGGCAGGATTAAAGGCAGGTCTCTCAGCCAATGAGGTGGAGGAAATTCTGACTCTCTCCAAATCTCAGCCAATCAAAGACAAGCTGAAGAGTGTCACAGAGGAAGCACTGGAGTATAAAGTCAGTGCATCTCTGCACCCTCAGTCTTTCCCACCAAAATGTGTTTGTGGTAAAAATATCATAAACCTTCCTTAAACAGTCCCCCCCCCCCCCCCCCCCCCCCACGCTTTTCCAGTGCTTTGGGCTCCCATTTATCGTGTGTCATGTAAATGGAAAGGCTGAGGTCTTCTTTGGTTCTGACAGATTTGAGCTCATGGCTTATTTCATTGGTAATTAGAGACTAGGGATGTAGACGATTAACCGATTAACCAACATTTGTTCGACTAATACCATCAGTTAATTTACATAATTTATTGACATATTTACATTTTCCTTTTTATTTTTAAAAAGGCTATTGTCCAATCATTCTCTTTCTTTTGTGTTCCAGGGGAGAGGTGGATGGGGCCTCACCCTAACAAGTCCAAAGCCACAATGTGATAACTACTCCTCCATAATCTATTTCAACAACTTCTAAATAAAATGTTAAAATGGTGTAAATTGACATTGTTTCAATTCAACAGCAAACACACGTTTACATCTAAAAGGGGACATTCTAATGTTTTTAAATATAGCCAGAGGCGGATCTAGTGGTGAGGCATTGGGTGGCAACTGCCACCCTAAGAAAAGAAAATGCATTGCCACCCCATCGGCCACCCCAGAATTATGCCGAACTAGTCCATGTTTATTACATTCATGATTAAAGGAACACAGAAAAATATATCTATTTTGTTGTTATTTGTTAGGAAAACCATTAGTGAACATTTGTAGACAAGCAAATTTTAACAAAGGATAATAATGTCTGTTTCGATGGCTCATCTGTTGCTACCTACTGGCATAAATGTAACATCAACAAACAAGTTAGAATCTAAAAGATTATTTTTGGTCTGAATCAAATGACTGGAGTCTCTGAAAATCTGAGAAATAGGTAAGAATCTAATCTTAACTTGATTAACTATGTTGGCTTGATAAAGGCCTTGACTAGTTAAAGGGAGACTTAAGGCCCATTCACACCAAGGACGATAACGTAAAAAGATAACGATAAAGATAAAAAAATCATTCTCAATATTAAAGAATAGCAGAGTCCACACCACAGCTATAGCCAGAGGCGGATCTAGTGGTGAGGCATTGGGTGGCAACTGCCACCCTAAGAAAAGAAAATGCATTGCCACCCCATCGGCCACCCCAGAATTATGCCGAACTAGTCCATGTTTATTACATTCATGATTAAAGGAACACAGAAAAATATATCTATTTTGTTGTTATTTGTTAGGAAAACCATTAGTGAACATTTGTAGACAAGCAAATTTTAACAAAGGATAATAATGTCTGTTTCGATGGCTCATTTGTTGCTACCTACTGGCATAAATGTAACATCAACAAACAAGTTAGAATCTCAAAGATTATTTTTGGTCTAAATCAAATGACTGGAGTCTCTGAAAATCTGAGAAATAGGTAAGAATCTAATCTTAACTTGATTAACTATGTTGGCTTGATAAAGGCCTTGACTAGTTAAAGGGAGACTTAAGGCCCATTCACACCAAGGACGATAACGTAAAAAGATAAAGATAAAGATAAAAAAATCATTCTCAATATTAAAGAATAGCAGAGTCCACACCACAGCCATAACGAAAAAGGCACAGAGAATCGATATCGCTGAAATCACTTTTTGTTCCAGCTGATGAACGATATAAACATTGACACCCAATCAGAATCCATCCTGCACTCTCAGAAAAAAAGGTACAAAAGTTGTCACTGGGGCGGTACCTTTTTTAAAAGAGACACCTTTGTACCAAAAGAGTCCATAATGGCACCTTAAAGGTACACATTAGTACCAAAAGTGTACATATTAGTACCTAAAAGGTACAAAAGTGTACCTTTTGAAAAGGTACCGCCCGAGTGACAGCTATTGTACCTTTTTTTCTGGGAGTGTGCTCGACAACGAGCACGACAATTTAAAACGGCAGACGAGTATGCCCTTAGAATAAACAGACAGATATCGTTCGCTGGTGTGGACGCTAATATCATTATCTTTATAGTTATCGTTCTTGATGTGAATGGGGCTTTAGAGCGAGTGAGTGGCAGAGAGCAAGACAGAGATTTTAGGCAGTTGGTAGGGTGTTCTGACCTTCCATAATATTCACATAAGACAAAAGTTTTTGTTGCTCTCAAACTTGATGCACTCAAATTTGTGATTTATGTAATCCAAGCAGCCTGTGCATTATTAATAAAATAACTTGTCCTCTGTATGCATTAATGATAGACCTACTCTTACAAGCTCAGAGACATTTAGAATATGTTGATTTAATAGCCAATGTCTTGGTGCCCTGGATATTTATATTTTATAGTTATTTTTGATTGTTTTTAAACAGTACAGATTACTTCATGGTAATGCAACTGTTCTGCACATTCGTGAGCACAAATGTGTATAACAGATCAGAAATCCACATGAACTACACATGGACACTTGCTATAGTGCTGCTGCCACACCTCATGCCATCCTATTAATAATTTTCTATATCTGCTCCAATATACAGCTAGTTATAAATACTATAACCTAACCCACACTCTAACACTACCAGAATTTTTTTTTTTTTTACAATAAAAAAAAATTATAATTTACTTTATTTACCTAAGGTGTAAAATATTAAGTCCACGTCTGATAATAAGTGAGCACCTTAAAATATTATTCTGTGTTAGATATAAACAATTAGCATGATCTCTGTAGTTTTAGCCGGTAAAGACTTATTTTAAAAAATTTGCCTTTGATTACTTTTTATTTATGGCTTGCTGATTAACCGATTTTAACTGGTTTTTGATGCAACTGAATGTTCAATGGTGCAATCTTACTATGGACTATTTGAAGTCCTTCAACTTAAAACCATCAGCTGTCAGACACTGAATGCAAGTGCTGACGAAACCGTTTTCATTCTGACCCATAAACACTGGATGAAAGGTAAACCTGCACACCCTCTTCTACTGTTTTTGATGGCCATTGATTGAGTCAGGAGTCGTGCCTGGATGTCTGAACATCCTAGAGAAACTTGAGGAGCTGGATAATCAGGTTTTGGTTAGGCTAGATTCAGGAAGAAGAAAATGTCACATAAACTGAATATTATAGATGAGATTAGTTTAACACAAGTAGAGATAAAGGCAGGGTCTGAGCATTTCACTGGATGTATGTAATTTCACAGGGGTTGACAGCTGTAAATGATACTCTGTGAAATGTAGAAATGGCTTGGCACTGTAATAAACCCTTTGGCCGTAAAAAAATATTTTTTAGCACTACAGAAAAGGAGGGTGTTACCAACAACAGCAAGTGAAGAGACGGAGCACAGGTGAAAAGGGTGGAGCTAAGTCACCAACAAAGGTGCAACCTAGACAAACACAAGCAGTACATCATAAGGAGATTCTCTAGAAACAAGGAAGGAGACTAATAAAAGGTACTGATGACAACTGTAAAACATGGGACAGAGTGATGTATTCAACAATGGGATATCATTTCCATTATGGAAAACTATCTGAATAGAGATAATCTAAACACAAGGAAAGACTGAACATCAAGGAGTAAGACCACCTACAACCACAGTGTCCAGCAGGTAGGCCAATACAGACGTGCAGACAAAGCCACCAAAGTGAAATATGTAACTTAGTCTTTTAGTTTACAAGGCAGGCCTACTTGTGGAATTAGCTGTCAGATGATTTGATTATTTATTGTGAATTAGTTTGTATTATAAAGTGCACAGAACACAAATGATGTTCTGTGAAATTGATGTCAAAACATTCCTCACTTATGTCAAAGGACAAATACACTACAGAGAGAGCAGAGCATTATATTTGCCATTCAAATGTTTGGGGTCAGTATGATTCTTTAATGTTTTTGAAAGTCCCCCAAAGACTGTATTTATTTAAATATTAGTAAAATTGAAAATGACTGTTTTCTATTTTAACAGTTTTTCCCCCATGTAATTAACTCCTGTGTTGGCAAAACTGAATTTTCATCATTGCTCCATTCTTCAGTGTCACATGATCCATGAATCATTGTTGAATACTTCTTGATACTAAAAACATTTTGGTGGAAACTGATATATTTTTTTTTCTGGATTCTTTGATGAATATAAAGTTAGAAAGGAACAGCATTTATTTATTTGGAAATCTTTTTTTTTGAACATTATAAATGTCTTTACTGTCACTTTTGATCAACTGAATATTTACTGAATAAAAGTATTGGACAATTTTTAAATACACAATTTTTTGAATACATTAAGTCAAGATATTTATGTCTAATACATCTCAGTTGCTTATGTGGGTTTCCCTATGTACCTCTGTGAATATGACGTGTTGTTGTGTCGTCTTTGAGAATGAAAAAATGCAGACAAACAGGTTGAGAATCATAATACAGATAAAAAGGCTGTTCCAGTGAGATGTCAGAAACAGAGCTAATACAGTGGCCTTTTACTTCACAGGCTGAAAACACATTCAGCCACACTTATAGGCATATAAAGAACACATTTATCTAGTAGCACAACACAGCTGACAATTGCAGCCATGAACACACACAAAGTATAGCAAGTATTAGACTTGTTGTACTGACATTTAGAATGTCACACCAGACTGGGTGTTCACTGTTTGTTCACAAATGAGGCCATCTCATATTGCACATGGAGCATAAGTGTGTAGCGTAGCATCTTTGAGATTATACTTACAAGATACTCTCATGTACAAACACATAATTTACTTACTGTATGTACACAGTAAATATTTATATGTGAAATCTATTTCTTAGTATTTTCCCCCATTTTTCTTTCTGGGGTTATTTCCTGAAAAAAAACACTGATGATGTTGACAAAGATGTATCTCAACTACCCAAAGCCTTTTATGCTGATTCGAAACACTGATCACATTACGCTGACCCAGAATTCAGCATGATGTTTCATACTGCCATTATAGAAGACTTAGAACATTTAAAATCTACATTGTTTCAATGTTCTCCATATTTGGAAATCAACCTGAAACACAGCGCAATACTTTGGTAAACAAAGTATTGCAAAGGTTTTTGTTTTGGTAGTTCATTTTAAAAATCTCCAACCTTTTAAATCCACATTCTGTCTCTGCGCAGGATGGCTACCACTTCCAGTTCTGCGTATTCTGAATGTAAACCTGGAGACACATTGTGTGGTGAGTAGATCATGTATGTTGGATAAAACAAAAAGGCATCATCACCATTAGACGAGTATGTCTCCAAAGTTGTAAGCTAAAACGTAAAAAAGTTGCTCATATTCCGTCAACATGTGATTTGCTCCCTCAGAGATCCGTGTGTATGAACAGGAAGTGATAATCGTACCGGTGTTGTTTTTGATGAGTTTCTTGGTCACGCTGGTGTTTCTGCTGCTGCTGAAGTTCTGTCCTGAGAAGGTGGATCGCCTGCAACCCAGGTCCAGTCGAACAACCAAGACTAGGAGAAACTTGCAAGGCATTGATGGTGAGTGTCTACATATATATTTCAAAAACAACATGCCAAGAGTGTATATATATATATATATAATTTTAATATATATTTCAATGTTACTAAACGCATTTTGCTAAATGTATTAAATGCAAAATACATTTACATGTATGCTACATGTATGATGCATACCAAAATTGATGTGTACATTTTAAAATTGAATAAAAAGTTAATCACAAAAATGTATTTCCTAATTAATAACACATAATGTCTGTACATAATACAGGGATTAAATATTTGCTTTAGTGTTAAGCATAAATGTTGCATCTCAAATGCAAACCACTGTGCTTATGTGTCGTGGCAAGGGCTTAAGAATCGCGCCTCTAATCTACACATTGAGACTGTTTGCACAAAACGGTTTTGATACTGACTTCAAGTAAACAAACATGACATTTGGTCGGTAATATATTTTATTAAGTATGCTGTTCTGTTTTTCATACTTTAATTCATTGAATCCCACCTAAACAGTCTCTCTTTCTATCTCCCTATACGTAGCTCCCCAGGGTCTGAATGCTCTTGAAGGTGAGCCCATAGCGTTGGACACTACATCTTACATGACGTTCAGCCCAGTTCGAGACTCCTATAGAAATGAACATGCCTCCTTTAATGACAACAATGTGGCCTTTACCGATGGAGGAGGCTCTTTTGGCGCCACAGCTTCAGCCTTCACAAAGCCCAGGGAACTTCCACGACAGCGACTACCGGAGAACTTCAAAGGGGTGTCTCCTCTCCCAGCATCATACTCTCTGAAGTCAGACAGCTCCGTCTCACTCTACAGGGCTCGTATGGAAAACAGAAATGTGGTGCTGCGTGTACTTAAAGGTGCCCGAGTGATTTATGATATAGTCATAACGTCTGACTGAGATCTTGAATTCCAGTTTCACTCTCCTTTTTTTGTTCTCAAATTCAGATTCAGCCAGTAACCATGAAAGTCAGTCCTTCTTGGGATTTGCATCCTTCCTTTCCCAGTTAGGGCCCCATCCCTTCTTACCGGAGCTTCTGGGAGTTATATCCCTGCGAGCTCCTCTCATTACTGTTATTGAAGAGATGGAGAACAGAGATCTGCTCGGATTCCTGTGGAGGTGTAGACAGGTAAGAGGTCTGACCAAGATGTTTTATAGCAGCGGTTCTCAACTGGTGGGAAACAGCCATACATAGGCCATAAGTCAATTTTTTTAAGTTCTAACATGCTTCCTTTATCTTATGTTGTTGATCTCAAAGGTTGTGCATCTAAATAAACTTATTTTGGTGCAAATTCTTTTGTTATTTGGAATTAACAGGATAATGTTGGACCAGACGGCATGTATCAGATGACAGAAAAAAAGATCTTCACCATGGCTTCACATGTGTCCTCTGCACTGGTGAGCACAATATTGTTATCACCATTTTTCTCAATGTCAAATCCAAGCATTTTGGTATTTGGCAATATAAGCACTAGTTGGAACAAATATGACAACAATGATGGTGTCGTGTGATATTTTGGTTCAGTTTCAAGGATGGAGATCATCTGACCTTTCTTGCTTCTTTCTCTGTAGGACTTTCTCCATAGCAAAGATCTTCTCCACTGCAACATCAAAGCTCGCAGTGTGTTAGTCAGCAGGATTTGTACCGCAAAACTCTGGGGTTTGAGTGATTTGTATGCAAGGACATCAGCAAGTGCTAATCACAGTGAAGATTCTGGGAGAAAAAAGTGGCAGGCTCCTGAGCTACTGGCCAAGAGACCAGCCACTCCAAAAAGTGATGTGTAAGTAAAAAGAACAATACATGTTATCGGGAAAAACAATGTTCATGTTTTCAGCTCAAATACATGTATTTCTTGATCTTTTTTTACAGTTGGTCACTTGGGCTGCTACTGTATGAAATGGTGACTCTTGGTGAGTTTGCTGTCCGGTTCGTTTGAGATGATTTAAGTTGACTGTATCTTGCTTATAATGATTAATAACTCTCACCTTTAACTTCTCTCACATTTTTGTTTATCCTATTCTTTATACTTTCAGGTGAGGTCCCCTTTTCTGAAATCCCTGCAAAGGAACTTCTACAGTATCATCAGCGAGGGAAAACCCTGAAGAAACCGAACAACTGCTCCAACTCACTGTAAATGCACACTTAGAATTGTTGTTTTGTAAAATAATTGTATTCACTGGTTATACAGTGTGTATGTTCAAAATAATCAATTGTTACTACTGCTTTTCTCCAGTTTCTCACTTATCAAAGCTTGCTGTCAGTGGAAGGAACATGACCGCCCCTCACTGGCTGAGGTCAGGCGTAAACTCCAATCAGGAGAGAAGAGTGCCAATGACAGCAGTGTTCTCCGTGTGCCTGAGCCAATCAATATTGAACAGTATCTGAAGGAAGCAGGATATGGAGAATCCAACAACTACACCGTTTTCTAAACTTCACATGACTCTTCATAATACATCACACATATATAAATATATTATTTAGTGTTTGTGGCGTAAACTGTTTATCTCCAGTGCTTCCTGATGAGTGAATTGAGTGTTGACCAGCCATACTGACATTAAAACATTTGAATGTATGAAATGTTAATTTTAGAGAATGTTTACAGATATTATTCTTTCTTTAAAATTCATTGAACAAATTGCAACATTTGCGAATTCTAGGATTTTATTTATGTTACCATAAATAAAATGCTAAATGTATTGTACAGTTAGATATTTGAACCTGATGCTGTGAAAAGTTGGAGTTTAAAGCAGTAAACACAGAAGTTTCAAACTTACTTGACTGATCTGATCAAGCAAAATTTAGCAGTACATTAGCCAGGTTAATGATGCAGCCTTGTTTAAAGACATGTGGCAGGTTCATTTCCGGAAGTCACTAATGACTGACTTTATCTGTTCAATTCTTGGATATTTTAAAGGGGTCATATGATGCGATTTCAAATTTTCCTTTCTCTTTGGAGTGTTACAAGCTCTTGGTGCATAAGAAGATCTGTAAAGCTGCAAAGACTGAAGTCTCAAATCCAAAGAGATATTCTTTATAAAAGTTAAGAGTAGGCATGGGCCGATTACCGGTTTCAAGGTATACCGCGATTTGAAAATGTCACGGTTTCAAAACCGCTAATATTTTCTGTTATACCGTTCCTGCGGTATGCGCTGTTTTTCATGTCTCTTCAAAGACTGAAAGTGTAGGAATCCCTCAGGTTGAGTGCAGTGTAGAGAGTAACACGACTCTCCTCCTCCTGTTGGTGCGAGCCAGCGGTCACGTGTGTGTGTAGGATGGACGAACTTAAGGAGCTTCCCCTGGAACTTACGCGATCAGGAACCGGCCGTTTTTTTGTCTTATTGCAAGCAACTCGTCTCTGTTCTGGACTTGCACAAACTGCGTTGCAATACAATAGTTTTCCAAAATCTCATTTATGTGAAAATATGAAGTCTGTAAATGCCCGTTAACACAGGCCAGAGACGCTGAAGATGGACGCGATCTGCATCTCATTCAGAGCTTCTGCTGTTTGCTTCGTTCAGGCATTTAGTATAATTTCACAAAGCTAGTCAGAACATTCTGTTTTTGCTTCAAATTGAAAATGAATCAAATTATGTATATGAAATTACACTGAACAAAATTATAAACGCAACATTTTTGTTTTTGCCCCCATTTTTCATGAGCTGAACTCAAAGATCTAAGACTTTTTCTATGTACACAAAAGGCCTATTTCTCTCAAATATTGTTCAAAAATCTCAGCTCATGAAAAATGGGGGCAAAAACAAAAGTGCTGCGTTTATAATTTTGTTCAGTGTATATAACTAAATGAATGAAATTATATAAATGTGCCAATATCCAATTATACAACAAATTAAATAACTGTAATTACAGATTTAGGTTAAATAAAGATGTCAGTCTTTATTTTTCTTCTTTTTAGGAAACAAATCAAAGAAAAAATAAACAAATTCTACTGTTCCTAATATTCTTTATGTTGCTCAAAAACAAAACATATTGTGTTCAGCGGAATTTTTTTTATCCAGTCATTTCAAAATAACAAATTTTAGAGCTGTAACGACAATACCGTGATATTTTTGCTTAAGGTTATCATACCGTCAAAATCTCATACCGGTCCATGCCTAGTTAAGAGTCAACCACGCCTACCTAAAACGGCTCGTTCTAACATGCTCCCACATGTCTACGTCACAATGTGGGAAGATTTGCATAACGCCGCCCAAATGTTCACGCAAAGAAAGAAGGCGTAACTTTTATTCTCGCTGTAGTATTGTTGTTGCTGCCACCATGTCGTGAAGGCGCTGTGTTTCGTTGTGAAAGTGAAACTACTTTGTTTGGCCTTCCAAAAGAGGACGATTTCCGCTTCGTCATGCCTGGAGCTGATCCGTGCTGGTCGCTGAGGAAATACATAAACTTCGTGCTGTGGATCGCCGGATCGGCTTTCACCGTGGACGAAGTCAAGTCCAGTCTGGGGTCGTCACATGTGGTTGCCGCAAGCCCGTCCACTGCGCCGTTCTCAAGCCCACCGTCTCTGCTCACTGTAGCCTGCCGTGAGTGAAGCTGTGTTTCGTTGTGAAAGCAAAACTACTTTGTTTGTTCCAGAACAGTTCAACCCAAATATTCCAATGTGTCCAGCGCATTTTATGGAGGACTGTTTCCTGATCCTGGTAGAGTAGACTACAATGCCAGCTGTAGTCTACTCTAAATGCAAGTTTTGAGCAGTGTAGAGTAGCGTTTGTAGTTTGTCATTTCTCCGATCACAAATGCAGACATGGTTTTATGTTTACGCGGCGCGATGCAATGCAACGCGTAAAAAGACAGTATAAGTCATTATAATCCGTAATTATGTCCCCACTGGATGCAACAATTGCCTCGTTTATAATGGGTTTTAATTTTTTGTCTCGTCACTAGTGTTGTGTTGTTCTTGAACGATTCGTTCATTTTGAACGAATCTTCAATGTGACTTGGGAAGAACGAGTCGTCTCGGGAGTGATTCGTTCAGTCGTGTATGCGCAACATCCTATAGGTTCTGTACTGGAATTAGTCAAGTAGTTCACCTGGTTCGAGTCTTCGGGTTTTTCCGAGTCGTTCGTTCATCACGTGACAGCCCCATAAGCTTTAACCAATGCAGTCTGAGCCGGAAAGAGAATTGATTAGTTCATCTCTTGAGTCTTCGGGTTTGAGTCGTTCATTCATCACGTGACAGCCCCATAAGCCCAAACCCGAAGACTTGTCAGATAAAAGGTGAGCTAATCATAGACTGAAGACCCAGGTAAACAATGAATTCATCTTTTCTGTTTCTTATAGCAGTTTTGTATTGTATGTAGTGTGATCAACGTTTCCTTAAGTAGTAGACGTATTAGGGAAGTAACACGTAACATTTTAATTATATTTTGCAAAAATTAACGAAATGACTCGAAAAAAGATTTGTTCATTTTGCTGAACGAGACTCAAAGGTCCGAGTCGGTAAAATTATCCGAACTTCCCATCACTACTCGTCACTCCAGCAGGGACAAGGCATCACAGTATGGTAAGGGGCATTCTTGATTTTTGAGCATTAATACAAATTTTTTTTAAAGTATGGTAAGGGGCGTAACATTTCCGTCACACGCTTGAGGTATTCGGCCAATCACAATGCACTGGATAGATATCCAATCAGAGCACACCTCACTTTTCAGACCGAGCTTTGTAAAAATCTATGCCTTTCAGAAAGGCAGGGCATAGAGGAGAAACAATAATATACATTATATGT